GCAAGTACAAGACAGCTGGTGGTTAGCTCTAGGTGTCTCTGTGTAGAGACTTGGAGCTATTTTACTTTTGTCTTTATTCTCTGAATTTTATAAATTGCTCAGTAAATGTGTTACTTTTTAATTAGAAAAAACTTCCTTAAATTTTTGAAATCACATTTTTAAAAAGTTTTATTTTCTTTAGTTAGTCTACTTGGGCCATCATAAATTGCCATAGTTTGAGTGTTTTAGAAATTGATTTTCTCCCAGTGCTGAAGGCTGGAGCCCTGGGTCGGCCTCTTCTCACTCCTGGCTCACGTGGCTGTCCTGGCCTCCTGAAGTACTGTCATGGTACGGTCATGCTTGGGGTTGGCATTTCAGCATTCGAATTTCGCAGGGACCCAGCCACGTCCAGAATACACACACACTAACTTACTGATTCTAGGGATGGGGTCTGCCTGTGTCACCCCGGCTGGGCCTCACCCTCCTGGCCTCAGGGGATGATGCTCTTGCCCCTATGCCTTCTGAGTAGCAGTAGCTGGGATTGAAGATGGACACCACCATGCCTGGCTTAAATCTTTGTTGTTTTTGACAGGTGTTTCTGTAATTGTGAATACATGCAGCTCTTAGTCAAGGTTCTTAAGGCATTCACTGGTAGGAAATGGTCCACTCCCGCTCAGCGTCTCACTGTTTGCTTCTGTGTTTGCTGCCCCATTCTCTCGGCAGCCCTTGGCCAGGGCTCAGTTCCTGGGTGGGCCCTGCCTCGGGCTGAGTACCAGCCCAAGCCAGCTGCGCTCGCTAAGCACGGAGCCCTGGGTCGGGCCCTGGAAGGGCCGTGCTCCGTGTGAGTCAGTGCCCCCTTGGGATCCTTGGCTCTGTCCAGGTCGGTGAGCACAACCACATTGTTAGAGGGAAGCTGGGCTGTGCCCTGGACATGGGGACAGGGAGAGCTTGGGCCTGCATGGTCTCTCGAGGCTCCGTCAGGCAGTGGTGCTCTGGCTTCACAGAGGGACCCAGGAGGTGGCGAGCCAAGGACAGGCCACCTGCTGGGGAAGCTCCACACCGCTGCCCTCTGAGCAAGCCCGTGCTGCCTCTCCAGACCAGCAGGCACCGCAGCACATTAAACTTGGGTTTAGCTGCCTTGTCTGCCAGCCGGAGAGTGTATAAGCGTTTTAACTTCATTGAGGTTGGCATGATGAACTGGAGGAACTGACTAAAGCTAGAGCTCGGGCTCCCTGGGCTTTACCCTCATGGTGCATCGATGCTGGAGCCTTGGGCACCATGAATAATGAAATTACACTGGAAGCCACCTGCCTTGGCCGCAGCGTGTGAATGACTTGGGGCCCCACCGGCTGTCTCTGCGCAGCAGCCGGGCCACAGCCCCACTGACAGGCGCTCTGAGCAGAGGTCCCTAGACAGTCACCTGTGAGGACAAGAGAGAGTCAGACCAGGGCGCCTCCAGCTGTAACATGCTTTAGTTGGGGTGCTGAAGAAAATCACAGTGATGTAAACTTGCGATTACTTTAATGGTGCTTTTGTATAAATTCACATTTTAATCCAAATAACATCTGTAGTTTTAAAAATAATGTAAAGTTAGTATTCAGTGGCTCTTTTGTTGTTGCAGTTGCTGTTTGTTTCTTTGTTTTTCAGTACTGGGGCTTGAACCCAGAGCCTTTTTACTTAGACAGGGTCTAGCTAAGTTATCAAATTGCCCAGCTTAGGCTAAAGCTTGCAGTACTCCTGCTTCAGCCTCCCAGAGTGCTGAGATCACAGATTCACACCACCACACCTGACCTCAGTGGTACTTTTATATAAATTAGGTATATATTATTTCTTTTGTTTTACTATAAACTGCCAGCTTTATTGTTTACAACATTCATCAATACTGGGAAGTACAACATTGCATGATGTTGTTGATTATAGTGCAGATGATCCCAGGTTGAGTCACTTATTTGAATTAATAATAGGGAAATTACTATTAAAGTCATATACATTAAATCATTATTTCTCAATTTTACATACTTGTATTTGCTTATGACTAGGTAAATGCTGCCACTGCTGTCATCCCAAGCTGTGGTGTACAGTTTTAAGTGAGACTGAGGGAAGGGCCAAAGGTTATATGTTACAGGTGAGCCCGTTACCGGCAGCAGTTACCTAAAGTCCGGCCATTTCCATGAGATGAAGAGAGGCGTCACAGCTGGTAACTTTATAAGAGGTTTGAGTAGAAGTCGCTGGATCAATGGTTGCATTTTTCCTAATTGAGAAAAAGATACACATATTTTCTTATAGTGGTTGTATTACCTTGCTCAAAGTTTTTGTAACTTAGCCAGTTAATTGGCTAAAACTTCCAAAAATTCCACATACTGGGTACTCAGAGTTTTATCAGCCTAAGGACACAATATGGATACCAGCCACAGTTTTAATTCATAAAAATCATTTTAATTTTATAACTAAAGAAAAAAGTAATTAAAAATACTTGAGTTGTGAAAAATGTAAGGAAAAAAATCAAGATCATGATGTCACTAGAAAAAGAAATTAAAGTTCTTCTTTCTTAAACCTACTATAGACCACCCTAGACACTTAGAACAGGGTCTAGAGAAAACCAAGACATCACAGTGCTGTACTGGGTGGGAAGGTCAGGGCATCAGTCAAACCCAGATGTCTACACCTTGAGATCCAGCCAGTGGCTGAATGTGCCCATCTCTTTCCTGGGTACAGCATCATGTAGACAGGATTTAACAGGCTGTTCACACACACTGCAGATTTCCATAAAAGTTCTTCTTCCTGACACTCAAATAAGATTCAGACTTTTGGACCAAAAGGGCTATTTCATTAGCGCTTTCATTGATATCCCATGAAGCAGCAAAATGGAGACAGAGTAAGAAATATTCCTCTTTGGAAATACACAAATATTTGAATACAACCATGAAAGATGATGCTATAGATTCTTTTTTCTTAGGAATTTAAGTGATAATAAAGAAGGAAAATCCCAAGTTTAAAAAAAAAAAATACAGGGCCGGGGATTTGGCTCAGTGGTTCCACCGCCTGCCTCGCAAGCGCAAGGACCCGAGTTCGATCCCCGGTACCAAAAAAGAAAAAAAAAAAAAAAGACAAATCCATTATATGGTCATATTTCTTCTCCATAAAGGTAAATTTCATCCTATTTGCCTATATTGTCATTGTAGGCATTTGTAAAATGCTGAATTGTCAGACTTGGGAATAGTTCCACCTCACCCCCAACAATCAAGGTATATATTATTTGTAATCCAAATAATATCTGAAGATTTTTTAAATAGTAGAGCATACCCAAAAGATATTACTTAGGCTGTGGGCCTTCCTTGGACTGGCTGACATCTTGCATCATTCACCATTCGAAGATGAGCTGCTGCTCTACCGTAACTCTCAGCCCTCAAGGGTCAGCTGTGCTCGCGGAGGGGACAGGCTGAGCCCAGAGTCTCTTGGGAGCCTGCCCCTGCCAAGCCTGGGCTTGCCTTGCAAGCCCACCGGGAAGGCTGAAGCGGTCCTCTTGTGTGTGTCTTCAGCCTCAATCTGGAGAAAGTGCCATGGTTTATTTCAGGAGTCCCAGGAGAGCCTCGGTTTGTGACCTAATTTTAGTTCTGGAGGAGAATTTAGACTCACTACCCCCCCATTGACACATTTCTAGAAAACCGTATACCAAGATGAATTATTAAAATTATTCAAACATGTTGTTTACATTTCTCTTTCAAAGTCATAAGCTATGTGGAAACAGCTTTCATAGCACGGTGGAAGACACCTGACTGGCGGGGGGCTGCAGACCCTGGAGCCAGCTGTGTGGGTTCACATGCGAGCTTGCTCTGTGCCAGAGGCAGGGGCTGGGAACCTGGGCACTCCATGATGTAAGATACTACCACATGCCAGCAGCTGCTGCATGTGCTGCAGACAATCATGTTAGAGAAATTTTCCTAAAAGGTCTTAAGCCCTTGTTCAGTAGAGCTTGCTCCTGAGGCTGGGAGCAGGTGTCTCCCACAGGAGTTCCCTGCTCCTGCTGCACGCACTCTTCCAGCCTGCGCCTGTCTGTCCCTGAGATCGTCCTGGGACCTGGGGCGGGGCGGAGCAGGGGGCAAGGGTGACTGCCCTCCAGGCCAGTGTCCTGCTTCTGCGTGCACAGAGCGGGCACTGGGAGTGTTGTGTAAGTGACAGAGACAAGAATTTCTCCAAAACTGGCCAGCAAATTAAGTTCTGTGTGCACATTTGTGTGTGAGTGTTCAACTTGTGTGCCAGGTTCACAATTTTTAAAATTAGAGCATTTCTGAGGAAGTTTTAAATGATCACAGTTAAGTGACAACAGGATAGGGTACGTTGTTCGGAACTGTGTCCTAACCAAATGTCAGCGCCTTGTCTCGGGGTCGGCCTCCTCCTCGTGCGAGCTCACCGTGGCCTTCTCTGAAGCTGGTCCCCGAGTGGCAGCGGCAGAGAAGCCCCTGTGCCTTGAGGGTCCGCGTCACACCTTCAGCCCAGCAGGAGGACAATGAGAAGCACACAGTGGAGCTTCGTTTTCCCCTCTCCTGTAATAATAGCAATAAAACACCTTAGCTGAAAACACGACGTAATAATTCAGTTTCGCCTTCTGGCTGTGAGTGATATTTTGTACTAAAAAAAACCCTTGAACCTGATTTTTAAAAATATAATTACTTATAAGGATAATAAATATATTCGTAAATCTTAAGTAAACAAACTGCAGTTTAGATAAAAACAACAATTTTATGGCCTCATTTTAACCAGTTCTGTTCAAGTAGAATTTGGAATTACGTATCATTTCATGTAATTCTGCATACTTTGTGAATTGAGGGTTCGTTGCACTTTGATGTTGTCGCTTTTCCTCCCTTTTCACTCTCAGTAGCGACTCCCCTGGCTGCAGACGTGATGTGAGATGGGCTCATAGCAGGGGCCTCCCTGTTGGAGTGGGCTTACTGTGGGGCCAGGAGCTTGGCAGCACCGATCGATTCGAACCTGACGTGTTCTTCCTTCTCCTTTTCCACCAGATACTCTGGATGAGTATTTTGAGTACGATGCAGAGGAGTTCCTGGTCTCTCTGGCCTTGCTAATAACAGAAGGACGGACACCAGAATGCTCTGTGAAGGGCCGCACAGAGAGCCCCCATTGCCCCCCAGCACAGTCCTGCCTCCCAGCTGCCACCCGACATGAGTGCAGCGACAAGCTGGCCCAGGTGAGCGGCAGGCCAGCGCCTTCCAGCACCGCCTGTGGGCACTGGTTGGGGTTCTGCCTTTCACGTAAACCGGTTCACATTCGGTCGTAGCCTCGAGGAAATCAGTTCTAACACTCAGATTTAAACAGAAAATTGGCTCTTAGGCAGGCACGGAGGCTCGCTGCTCAGTGGGAGCAGGTGCCGGCCCCGCCTCTCCTGCTCTTGGGCTGACTGGCTTGCTCTCGTGATTTTTAATTGTCCTTATTTTAGAGTCTCAGCCTGGCTCCTCCACTTGGTGGCGGTGTTGATTTAGTAAATTGATGTTATCATTATCTTCCCCATATTAATGAATTTCCCTCATTTTTTGTTAAATTGGACTATACTTTCATTATTAATGCTTTTTAAAAATACTGCTAAAATATTTTGGTAGGTAGAGTATAATTTGCCTTAAGAATTCTTTTTCCCAGTTACTAATTTCTCAAATGTAGTCCAAATTTTTAAACTTTAAAACATCTTGCCTATTTTGAGGATTTAATAAAAATTCGTCTTTGATAATTTAGTATTCCGATTTAAGAATTAATCTTTCCCATGAAATGATAATGAAATGAAAAACTAGGCAAGATGGGACCAACTCTGAAACTGTCAGACATAGTATGTGGCAGCTCTTTCTCTACAAGATAGAGCAAAGATACCCTCCCCAAGAAAATGTGCATCAAATACTCCACCTGGGCCTCATGGCACAGTCTGTAATCCTAGTACTCCGGGAGGCTGAGGCAGGAGGATCACAAATTCCAGCCCAGTCTAGGCAATTTAGTGACTGGAGAACTTGTCATTCATTCATAAGAGCTGGGAATTTAGCTCAGTGGCGCCATGCCTGCCTCACAAGCGCAAGGTCCTGAGTTCGATTCTCGGTACCAAAAAAAACAAACAAAGCATTACAATACTCATAAATAAAGACATGAATGATAAAAAATAAGTTAATTTATAAATAATGCTAATCCCTGTACTCTAGAGCTTACTACCATGAATATATTCTGTAATGAGAAAGCCTAATAGCCAAGCCTGAGCAAACTCTGTTAAATAACTCATTTGCTGTACTGATAACTGCCTTACCATAGTGCTTTCAAGTTGGAACAAAACTAGGTGGGTTATGGAGACATTTTTCCGTGTTTATTCTCTCCTAAGTGTCGCCAAGCCAGACGCACCAGGTCTGAGGTCACTCTTCTGTGGAAGAGCAACCTCCCGGTCATGGTGGAGGTGATGCTGCTCCCGGACTGCTGCTACAGTGACGACAGCCCCAGCACTGAAGGGACCAACCTGAACGACCCTGCCGTCAAGCAGGATGCCCTGCTGCTGGAGAGATGGATCCTGGAGCCAGTGCCTCGGCAGTGAGTGCTCCACCTCAGTGTCATGTTGCTCCTAGTAAAGCGACTCTTCCATTGCTCCCCCCAAACCATTTTACTGATGTAGCTTGTCTTTAAATCCCTGTATTTAGTGTAGCAAAGTTGAGGTGTTTGGCACTTCTATTAGGTAATGGTGACATCAGGTGATATGAGTGCATTTCTGTGCTCTTGAAAATATGCATCCAAGGTTTATTTCATCTTCTCTCTTCCTAAAATTCACTCTCTGCATGTGCTGACTTTGGACTACACGCTGCTACTTCCCTTAGGAATGGCGGTCGGTTCGTTGAGGAGAAGACTCTCCTGCTGGCTGTGCGCTCGTTCGTGTTCTTTTCCCAGTTAAGTGCTTGGCTGAGTGTCTCTCACGGTGCTGCCCCACGAAACATCTTGTACAGGTATGTCTCGGGCGAGCAAGGCAGCGCATGCCACATTTGCCTGTATTGTTCATCCCTTCATGTCTAAATACAAGTGAATCACATTTAATGAAGTTTTTCTTGAAACAAGTTAAAGAAGTTTAGACTGACTCAGTATGAATTTTCCTGGTTGGGTTAAATTTCTTACAGAATAATATTCAGAGAACTTTTAAGCTTACTTTAGAGATCCAAGAATGGATTTAATGCTGCCATTACAAAGTGGAAACTTTCTGGGCTTCTGAACTTGTGTCACCACGGTTGTAGTAAACAGAGCTGGCACTGTGACTCATGTCTGTAGGCCCAGCTGCTCAGGGCCGAGGCACAAGGAGAACATTCAGTGAGGAGTTCGAGGCCAACAGGGCAACATAGTGAGAGCCCATTTTTAAAGACATGCATGCAGTCGTGTGTGCACACACACACAGGGGCTGCCAAACAACTAACTGTCTCTTTAGGCAAGTGGACACGAGATAGTTTCCCTTAATCATCTTGCATAATAAATTAACTTAGCCCATGTATTCATTAGTAAATAGGAAGTCCTTTTTTCTTTCTGTTTTGACAAATATTTTAAAATTCTAATAGTGAGCTTTAAGGCCTGATGATCATCTCTTCAGAGTATGGTGTGGTGTAGCCCTCACCTGCAGTGGCTTTACCATAGTTGCGTGCAAGGTGAAGGGGCTGAGTAAACCCGAGCAGACAGCTGAGCACGATGGTGAAGGTCGCACCGACAGTCCGCTGATTCTGTACTTCTCTGTTGGCCCCTAGGATCAGTGCCGCTGAGGCAGACCTGCAGTGGCGCTTCCCCCAGACTCCAGTCGAGCACGTGTTTCCTGTCCCCATCGTTTCTCACAGTATGGCCTTGAAAGTCAGCGTTCAGTCCCTGCCCCGACAGTCTAATTACCCAGTCCTGAGCTGTAGCATTCACACGAATCTTGGCCTTTATGAGGACAGGATTCAAGAGCACGAGCGAAAAGCCCGTCAGCACTGCAGTCCCACTGAAGCAGAGCAGTACAGTGCAAACGGCTCGCAGCGCCTGTGCAGCAGACAGGCGTGGACCGCGGGGCCAGAGAGTGTGCCACATGTGAGAAGCGGCCCTGCTCCTGAGCACACTGCAGCCACCAGAAACGGTGGGCCCCATCTGGCCTCGGGCAGGAAGTCCCCTTATGGTACATCTCGGGCCAGTCTTCTGGGCTCAAGTGGCTTAGGAGATATGAAGCCACATGAAACGTCCATGAGAACTTGGAAATCAGTTTCAGTGGTGGATTCTGGTGTCTCCAGCCACCAGAGCTCCAGGCAGCCAGCTGGTGAGACAAACCCTCTGATAAACTCCTTAATCCAGGATCGACAAGAAGTCATTGCGAGAATTGCTCAGCACCTGATTCATTGTGACCCAAGCACTTCCCATGTTTCCACACACCCATTCGCCACTCAAGAGTCCAGTGCCCTGCATCCAAAACTGTGCCAGGCTTCACACGAGAGGGACGATGTGAGAAAATGTAAAGATGCATTCTCTATTTCTTTTGGTGGTCCAGAGTTCACTCCCACAGAAGACACTAGTGAGGCAAAAACTCGAGGGAAACCGGACCCTCTGAGAAGCGAGCCTCGCATCTCTGGTGGTCTGCACCCTCACCATGGTGCTGGAGAGGCGAGCCCTCTGATAGGCTCCTTACTGCAGGAGCGGCAGGACGTGATTGCCAGGATCGCACACCACCTGGAGCACATTGACCCTGCAGCACCCCGCGCTCCCCAGCCCGCCTTCCATCTGCACGACCCCAGCAGCCTTCCTTCCAAAGTGTTCTGGAATTCCTGTGATGACAAGCACTTGTGGAAGAACGGGAATGGTGGCTCTGCTTCCCTTCCTCCTTCAAAACCATCCTTGTTGGGAGACAGCGCTGATGGGAAAAGCTTACTACCTGACAAGGCTTGTAGTTCTTTCAGATGCAGCAGTAGAGAAAAGTCCTCCATGGAACCCCAAGTGCAGACTCGGCACCAGCACAGTCCCTGTGACAGTGTCCAGAGCGGGTGTCCAGAGACACAGGACAGAGCCACTGCTCTGTTGGCTTCCTCACATGTGTCCCAGTGCAGTGACAGTGACGTAGGCTTGATCAGCAGATTGGAAAATACACTCGAGGAGTCACAATTGAAGAAGCAAGAAGGCAGCACTGGAATTGAGAAACAGTATTCAGATTGCAACAATATTGATAACAAGATCTTCGTGAATAAGTGTAAAGGGAAAATAATAAACAGTGACCACTGTAATCCCAAATCTTTCGATAATCTCCAGTTTAATAACTCAAAAAAAATTGACTCAAATATGAAAGTTAATACGTTGGAAATGCCTGAATATTTGAACAGGTATGAAAATAATTGCTCAAATAAAGACTCAAAAAAGCTGAAGACATATGAGCAAAACACTCAAGTTAATAGCATAGAGAATTATCTCAGTAAAGATAACGAAGGTTTCAAATGCAAAAAATCAGACCAATTAAAAAATGAGGACAAGAAAGATTCAGTGGCTGAAAAATCTCGAAACTGTTCTCAGAGAAAGAGTATAAAAGACTGTTTGTCTACTTGTGATCAACTGAAAAATACAAAGATATTGGTAGGTAACATCTAGCATTTCAAATATGAACCGTCTCAGTTGTTTATGATGGTTTAAATTGTGTCCACACACGGTATAGGTTTAAAGGCCCACACGCCCATCACCCACAGAACCCATGGTCTGATACCCAAGACCCACTGAGCTGTTAGCATCCTGGCAAATAAGGCCTCCTCTTACAACAGAAGCTAGATAAACAGAAGGAACAAAGGTCATGTGGTTTAAAAACTACGGAATGGCTAGCCGGCCGTGTTGGCATTTGCCCGTGATCCCAGCACCTTCAAGGCTGAGGCAGGAGGGTCCTGTTTGAACCCAGCCTGGGCAACTTAGCGACTTAGTGAGACGTCTCAAAATAATAAAATAAGGGCCCAGAGTGTAGCTCAGTGTGAAGGTCCTGGGTTCAACCCCAATACCATAATCAATCAATAAATGGTACCTTTTATTTTTAAACAGCTATTATGGCAGTATTTTTTTTTGTTTTGGTACCAGTGATCAAACTTGGGACCTTGCGCTTGTGAGACAGGTGGCGGAACCACTGAGCTAAATCCCTGGCCCAGTGGCAGTAATTTTTTAATTCCATTAGGTCTATTACTTAGGTCTTCCCCTCCCCCTAGCCTGGAAGGACTGTTACTTTGTCATCTGCTGGAAGCACTGGGTTTTTAGTGTTCAGTCTGTGGACTCAGGAGAACGAATGAATGCCGTTTGGTGTGGATAGAGGGACTCTGATGCTGTGTGGCTGCTGTAGCTCGCCGTCAGTGGCGTCACTGCTTAGTGCTGCGTTTTTCTGGTATTTCACCATGGGACAGCTAAGATGCACACCAGGAAACGGGGATCAGAATAGCAGGCACAGGAGTGGCCTGTGCAGGTCCTTCGAGGCTGAACTGGCCCCCAGCCACCCCATCTCCTGCCTGGAACCCACTGGGGCTCTTCCTCCCACCTTCGCAGAGCCCAGACAGACATCGGCCTGTGTACTCCGTGGTGCATGCGAATCCGTCCCGCTGCGCTTCTGTTTATTCTGTTACAGAAGTTGGCAGAGAGTAAGCAGGAGGCAGAAGGAACTCCCAGGAGCTTCCTGGGGCTTTGGCAGCACCCCACTGCCCCCTGTGCGGTACCGTGCCATGCTGCAGCCGGTCTGCTCATGCCTCGCCCACTTGGGAAGCCTGTGTCTCAGAGTGTAGCGCTGAGCACGGTACTGAGCAGTCTCCCCACCTGCCTCAGAGTTGGGGAGGTGACCAAACGTTCTGTAAGCCTTCGTGTCCTCCCGAGAGAGAGACTTCCCTAAAACCCCAGGCATCTCAGAGACCTGCCCCGGCCTTACAAATGTTAGTCTGTTTGCCAGATGCAATGGTGCACGCCACTGAGCCAGCTACTTGGGAGGCTGAGGCAGGAGGATTGAGAGTTCAAGCCCAGCCTGGGCAGCATGGTAAGATCCCCATCTCAAAAAAGTAAAGAAAGAAAAATAAAGGAAAGAAAGAAACAGAATGTTGGTATTTTTGTAATCCTTGCTGGTACCCCATAAGGAGGCCTAATCTCACCTTGATGGTTTCCAGGCCACTGTGATTAGGTTTTCACAGCTCTTAAGCTCGCCCATAGAGTGCGTGCCATGCACTCACAGGCTCTCATGCGCGCCCTGTGCCACCGCCCGGCCTCTCCCTGCCCAGATGGCACTGCACTCTGACGCTGTCTGCAGAGGCCCGAGGCCAGCAGGGCCCTGGCTGCCCATGCTCGGGCGCTGAGGAAGCCGCACGTCCCCAGGTCAGTTTCTTCTAATTTTTATCTTTATTCATGTATTTTATGAATTTCTGCTTTTTCAGTGTTTGCCCAGTTTTTAAGAATTAGCCCCTCCCTCCCTTTTTCTTTTTTGCTTTCTTTTCTCTCTCTATTCCTTTTTTTTCTTAATTTGTTTTTAGACAAGGTCTTTCTATGTGCCTTTGCCAGGCTGGCCTCGGACTCCTAGGCTTAAAGTGACACTCCTGCCTCAGCCTTTCAAAGAGCTGCGATTACAAGTGATACATGCCACCATGCCTGCCTTGCCCTTCTCAGATCACATAAAAAACGTGGTGCTTTTGACTGCATTATATATCTCAAGCTTTATAATATTTCTGATGTTTTCCTGTCGTGCAACACCAAATCGAATCCTCTGAAAATGGCTGTTGTAGCTTTGTATTTTAAAATGTCATACTAATGTTTTTTCTTCCTAGGTAGTTGTTTTTCACAAATTAAATACTAGCCTATTGGATGCTAGATTCTGGGTGTATATGTTCATAAGGCAATTATTTGGGCATACTTTAGAACACTTCTGCATCACGTTACAGAAAAATAAAACACAGGTATCGTTTTCCGAGGGAGAGAGAGAGACCAGACACAGGGTGGAGATGCTGCCTGTGATGCTCAGGACGGAGGACGCAGTCCCACAGAGGGTGCGTCGGGTATGGGTCTGGAAACTCAGCCACCCAGGCCCGTGGGCAGCAGATGCTGTATTAACGTCACCATTGAACAGTGATTCTTTTCCTCACAGAGGACCGCACTGAAACACTCAAGTATCTGGCAAAAGCCTAACTTTCATTCCCTGGACGGAACTTCAACCCGAGCCTTTCATCCCCGAACTGGATTGCCTCTTCTTTCAAGTCCTGTAAATGCTTTTTCTCTTATTTCATGCTGAATACCTGCAAACATCTCAAATGTTTGCAAGTCATTTTATTTGAATTTTAACTGAAAAATGTTTAAATGGTTTTAAATTCGATCTTGTGAAAGCTGTTGTGGCCCACAGAGGAAGTGTGCAGCCTCCATATCCCTAGCCCAGGCTGCCATGATTAATGTTCTTAAAAATCGCCTCTTACAAAAATGATCTCACAACACCCTTAAAGAGTCAGCGGGAACAAGAAATGTAAGGATGCAAGTATTGCACCCTGTGAGAGCAACCTGACAGGGAGTTAGAAATAATTCTTCTTCAAGTGTGGAGCTAAATGAAGGCAAAGAGAGGAGATTAAGATGGAAAAACATGTTGATTTGAAAAAGAAATAGAAACTCTAGATAGGAACAATACAGTATTTGGATGGATAAGATACTGCCTAGAATCAGCTGAACAGGAACTTAGTAAGAGACAGACAGGTAGAAAGCATCTAGAGTGTGGTACAAAAATGAAAAACGGGTGAGATCTGAAAGAGCATGGAGGATAGAGTGATAGATCCAGCTGCTCCAAAAGGAGGATTAGACAGAGTAAGAAAAACTCTGTATTAGAAGAAATTAGAGAACTTTCCAGAATTGAAGGCATCAGCGTTTAAGTTGAAAATGTCACAACTGAGTTCTGACCACAGTAAAGAAGCATGATGAACTCAGACGACTCAGAAACGTGATGTGTAGGTTTTCCAGTATCATCTGGGAGTCAGATATTTTATACAGACTTCATATTCTAAAAGCGATTTTTCTAGCTTTCCTGTTGAACATGGTTTTATCTTTAATTTTGGATCTTTTGGAAGGTGTTCTGAGGTAGGCGGTAGTCGTCCCAGATGTGACGTGGCCTGGGAGTCCAGAGTCCTGCTTCCTGGCCCATCCTCTGGAGCCTGGGCTTCCCGGGCCTTGGCAGCGGGCAGGACGGGCGCAAGACGGGTGGAGCTGGCGGTGCCCTGCGCTCTGCGCTCCAAGCTTTGGGCCCCTTTTTACTTAGAAGCATTCCCCATAGAGAAGTTCATAAAATTTTGAAAGTAGTAGTTCCACACAAGATCTAGTTTTAGAAAAAAGTGTGTCCAGTTCTTACACACTTGAAACCTAAAGTGAGTTCCTTTATTAATTATCCTTTTTTTCCATCCTAGCTAATAAAATGAGGATGTAGGGAAAATCTGTACTAAACAGCATTATTTTGAAGTAAGCTTTCAGAAGAAGTTCTATTAAAGATATGCATAACTTTTGTTTGAAAAGTATTTTATCAATTCAAGAAAAACTACAGTCTTTTTTAATATCACAAATGATTATTTTGACCTTAGGTTCCTCAGAGAAAAGCACAATCAGGTTGCTTTGATCTGGATTCTTCATTACTACATCTGAAAAGCTTATCATCTAGAAGGTATCTATCTTAAAATCAATTTGTGACTATGAAATAGTTTCGCAAACTCCTAGTCTTTCACAGTACTCGATGCTGACTAAAGAGAAAAAGAGCAGGACTCTCATTTTCAGGATGGGGCTATGCACTTGGTCAGTAAGGATAAGGCAGAGATTGAGACAGTCACAGCTGCGGGCTGGTTATCCTAACAAGTGACTTGTTCTAGCACTCAAGTACGTTTATATCTTTTTGGTCATTAACCTTAACTTTTATTCCTTTGCCAAAAAAAAAAAACAACCCTTGGCAATTTTTTCCATGTTGGAAATTTTATTATTCATTTATTTATTTATTTTGGTGCCAGCGATCAAAGCCAAGACCGAATGTGTGCTACACATGCGCTGTACCCCTGAGCTGCGTCCTCAGCCCTCAGATCTTATTCTTTAGTTCACTTCACATTTGCACCTTGACAGTGAGTCTGCATTATTTTGTATTTCCAATAGCTGCCACTATGTGACAGGTAGTAAGTAGGGCAGTAGATAGACAGGCATAGATAAATATAAATTTTAGACTAACCATTTTGTATTTTAAAGTTTGACACTAATTTTCTTAGGGTAGTTAGAGTAAAATTGTTCAGATTCTCCTAAATTAATTTTATACAGATGTAAACAAGAAACTGTTGTGATTAATGTATTTTTTTGCTTATTTTTTTAATAGTCCTCGACCATGTTTAAACATTGAAGATGATCCAAATATTCACGAACAACCTTTTTTGAGTTCTAGCGCTCCACCTATAACAAGTCTTAGTCTCCTAGGAAATTTTGAGGTAATGTGATTTGAAGCTGTTTTAAGAGTTGAAGTTTCTTAACTGAGTTAAGGGTATCATTTATGTCTTTTTAAAGTTTTTTTGTTAAAAGGAAGTAAATCAAGTGTCTTTTCCAAAGACTTGGATTTACTTTTTGGTTTGGTTTGGTTTGGTTGGTGCTCACGGAAAGGGAGTGGGGAGGTGCTCAGCAGTGGTGTCTGGAGCTGGACCCATAGAAGACCTGGAGAGCCAGGCTGGCCCAGGCTTCTGAGCTGCACGGCCGCCTCTGGTCCTGAGCCTGGTGACCTGTTCCTTGGTCCAGCTGCTCGGCCGGCTGAGTGAGCCAGGGGGGTCTTTTGGCCCAGGAGTCCGAGGCCAGCTGGGGAGCACAGCGAGGTCCCCATCTCAGAAACACACAGCAAAACGATTTGCCTGAGACCCAGGAAAAGTGATGGTGGGGTGACGGCAGCCGCTTGATAATCCAGGACATTGATTTACAAGGCCAGGTGGGTCTCTGTACTCTGTGTGTAACTTCTCTACAAGCCTGGATCTATCGGATGTTTAAAGATCTCATACTTGGGGCCGGGGATTTAGCTCAGTGGTTTTGCTGCCTGCTGTGCAAGTGCAAGGACCCAAGTTCAATCCCCGGTACCAAAAAAAAAAAAAAAAAAAACAAGATCTCATACTTGCACTTGGGGGGCGCAGATAACTGGGTATTGAACCCAGGACCCTCGCACTGAGCTACATCCCCAGCCCTTTTTTTGTTTTTTATTTTGAGACAGGGTCTCCGTAAGTAAGCAAGTTGCCCAGGCTGGCCTTCCAACTTGCGACCTTCCTGCCTCAGCCTCCCAGAGTCCTGGGATTACAGGTGTGCACCGTGCCCAACTGATACACATGCCTCTTTGTTTATATGAATACTTGTGCTTGTCATCAAATATATCATGAACTCAGATACCTTTAATTAGAAATCAACCTTAAACACAAACCTATAAATGACATTTTAATTGGTATGTTTTTAGAAGAAATAATTTAAATTTTGTATTTTTGTTTGTTTTGATTTTTTGGTACCAGGGATTGAACTCGGGACCTTGTGCTTTTGAGGCAGGCTCTGGAACCACTGTGCTAAATCCCTGGCCCTAAATTTTGTCTTTTTAAAGTAAACAGCTTTACCAGGGTTGCCAGTATTCTTTACAATTATTTTAATTTTGAAGCTATGTTTCATAGTTGTAGGAGAAATAAAAAGAAACTTTTGTTAAATTGATTCTCTAACACATCACGTTCAAAGTCTCAGTTCAGAGATGCTGAACTCTCCATTCCTCTGTGTCTTAGAATTAAAATTGCAAGGACCGGGGATTTAGCTCAGTGGTTTCGTTGCCTGCTGCACAAGCACAAGGACCCGAGTTCGATCTCCATTACCAAAAAAATAAAAAGAGAATTAAAATTGCAAGCCAGGTGCCAGTGGCCCACACCTGTAGGCCCAGCTGCGCAGGAGGCTGAGGCAGAAGGATCCAAAGTTCAGGGCCAGGGATTCAGCTCAGTGGTTCCTCTGCCTGGCTCACAAGTGCAAGGTCCGGAGTTGGATCCCTGGTACCAAAAATAAAAAAACAAAGTTCAAGGCCAAGCTGGGCAACTTAGCAAGACCCTGTCTCAAAAATAAGTAAGATAAGACAAAATAAAATTAAATTAACTGGGATGTAGCTTGGTAGTAGAGTGCTTGCCAGCATGTGCAGAGTTCTGGGTTCAATGCCCAGTGCACGGGAAAAGTCCCAGAGGCCATACTGTGAGAGCCAGGCACCTGCCTGCACCTTCACACTGCAGTGGGACTGGTGGCCAGGGAACCCCATACACACACAACCTGAGGGACGGTACAGGGATCGAGACTGTTTCAGTCCTGTGGTTAGACGACTCTGTTTGTGTAGCTGTGTGTACATTTTTTGAGTGACCAGGGAAGATGTGCAGAGAAGCTGTGTGGCTGTCTGGCTCCTGCCTTCTCTTCATGATGAATTTGATGCTTTCTCCAGTCAACTGCAGGAGGTATTTCTTGGTGGCTGTGATGAGCTGGGCAGGACGGTGTGGCCGCCTGGAAGACTGGGGTGCTAGACTCACACTGGTGGGCCAGGGCAAAGTCTCCTCACTATAATGTCCTGGTGGCTCCATGACACGCTGACCCAGAGAAGCGTCCACGCAGGCCTGCTGTCCAGTGTCTGTGGCGAGTCAGCCACCTTCTCCTGTCGTCCAGAGTTTTCTATTGTAAAACCGCGTCCTGTGCCCTCAGCTCATCGGTCCTGTGATTGTCTTCTTCCTCCAGTTCAGTCCAGCGTAACAGCAGCAACCACTGCAAATACAAGGGAGTCGAGTCTGCCTAAGTGGCACAGACTGACCTCAAATTTGTGATCCTCCTGCCTCAGCCTCCTGAGTAGCTGCCATTATAGGCATGCCCCACCATTCCCAGTTTAGAGCATATTTTTTTATTTAGAGATATCAAATTTACATACTAAACAAATATAACAAATGATGAGGTTCCAGGAGAGCTCATGTTGGTTGGAATGGTGAGGGGAGGCCAGACTCAAGAATAGAAATTGGTGGGGACGACTCGTTGGACGAGGGCAGTGGCACTGGGCAGAAGCAGCATCCAGCACTAGAAAGCGTCATAACGCTGTCCCGTAATAGAAAGTGAACTTGTCTGACCTTTCCCAATGATTCTGTCTTGCAGGAGTCTGTTCTGAACTTCCGTTTGGACCCCCTCGGGGTGGTTGACGGCTTTACTGCCGAGGTAGGGGCCAGCGGTGTGTTCTGCCCCACACACCTGACCCTCCCGGTGGAGGTGTCCTTCTACAGTGTTTCTGATGACAACGCCCCCTCTCCTTATATGGCAAGTATTTTTAAATTTTTTTTACCAGAGTTGGGCAACCTAGTGACATGTGGCTTAACGCTTGGTGCAGTGCATGAGAGCGTGAAGTGTCTGGGAGAGCAGGCTGGGCACAGGCTGGGGGCCGGGCTCCTGTGCCCACTTCCGCCCGCCCGCCCAGCTCAGGCAGCAGGGGGTGGCGTGTGTGGCTGCCCTGCGACCTCTAGCTCAGGACACTCTGGCTCCAGCACACACAGTGCACTCCAGGCCTGGGCGGCCACAGGCCAGGCTGGGGAAGGCTCTGCCGCTGCCACGCTGCTCTGAGCCTTCCCCTGTGATTTCTCCTTTCCCGTTCTCATCCTGATGGATCACAAACTACAGAAGCCTTCAGCTGCAGAGACTGCCACGGAGCCCTGGTGTGCGTGTCCTCCCTTCCCACCGTGCCCGGGCCAGACGTGGAGTCAAGTCTGTGTCACTCACAGACAGGCCTTTGAAAACATACAGATCAGCACAGGCATGGGACTGTACCGCCCGGCCTTCACCCTTGGGCCAGTGGCTCCTGTCCCCTACCTTCAGGGTTCCCAAGCACATCAGTGCAGTGTCTCATTATTAATGAGAGCCGTGGGGAGGGGCTTCAACAGAATTGGAGATTTTCTTTCCCCAGTAGTACTGCGACTGCGGCCAACCTTCCCAAGCCTGCCCTCTTAGCCCCATGCCCAGCGAGAGGGGTGAGGCGGCGAGTGCTGTGGAGTCTAGTCTTGCCGGGTGCTTCTGGTACAGGACACAGCCTGGATGGTGCCCATGCTGGTCCCAGGACGGCCAGGTCCTCCCCCATGCAGAGTCCTCGCCTTGCTGGCCTGGAGACTGGCTTAGGAGGGAGGGAGATAGGAGGGTGCGCTGGTTGGGAACCAGCCCAGATACACACTGTGGAGTGAAATTCATGAGCCAGGAGAAATTTGAGCTGTACTTTTTTAAAAAACAGCATTACTCTTTGACCTTGTTTGATACCCTAAAAAATGAAAGGTTAGGTGCTAAAACGGTCTGTCACTGTGTCCCCGCAAAGTACAGAAGCACATGCGAAGGGCCTCGGATTCTGAAGAGAGACTAGAAAGACTATAATTCAGGGGCCGGGGATTTAGCTAAGTGGTTTCGCCGCTTGCCTTGCAAGCGTAAGGTCCTAAGTTCGATCCCCAGTACCAAAAAAAAAAAGACTAATTCAGGTTGCTGCATCAGTTAATCCCTGTGAGAAACCCTGGCTTCCTTTTCTCTGTGACAGTCTTCAAACAACTATCCCTAATACCTATATTTTCAAAGTCATTTTACTAACTGGAATGAATTCTTTTGCAAGCAACTGAGCCCAAATTGTAGACCAAAAGTCTTTCCTACTATAAATTAATAATTAATTTTTTCTTCAAGAAATGTTACTTATATCTTGGTAGTTTAGTCCGCTTTCAAAGGATTGATGTATCTGAAGACAACGCACATCACAGATCACAGAGCCCTGTGAGGTACTCTGGCAGCTTGGGGCTCTCGAGGCAGATCGCACAGATGCCGCACACAGGAAGCGCGCTTTGTGGCGTGGTGATGGTAGCATCTTCTCATTCAGTGCTCCTTTCGGCATGGATTCAGCACTCTCTCGAGGGTTTCCAGCCGAGAGTCAGAGGTAGACATCCTCGATGCGCTATGTGCCCACACTCAGCTGTGCAGATGCCCGTGTGGAGGCCCGGCAGAAGCGCTGTCCCTCAGGCAGGCCCAGGGCAGAGTCAGGAGTACTGAACCCCCATGAGGTCCACAGGGCCAAGCCTGACCTCCTCCCGGTGTAGTTAACCAAATCAAGGTATTCTTTTAGTTTCCCACTTTTGTCTATTTCTTTTCCGGTACCAGGGATCAAACTCAGGACCTTACGCTTGCCAGGCAGGTGCAGTGCCACTGAGCTATGTCCCCAGCCCTTTTGTCTGTTTTATATTCCACAATCACTTGAGTAGTTTTTGTGTTAAGATTTTGACCAAATTTAGTTAACCTTAACTTTACTATTCTGTCTTAAAATCACAGAAGAAAATGGGTTTCTATTTTTATATTAATTATGGTAACTTTCTCTAGGAATGAATAATAGGCTGACCAAATAAAATGATGAAATTATTAAAATAAAAAATTAATAAATTCAATAATATTAATAAAATTCCAAATAATTTCCCAGTAACTTTCTAAAATTTCTAATTTGCCAGCACTATTAGAGGTCTTAAATTATTTGGAAATTGTTTTACAGTGTTGCCCTAAACAGAAAGGTCTTTCGTACTCATTTCTAAGTTTACTTGGTCACTACTGTGGCCCTGTAAAGCCATCAGCAGTGCACATATTGAGGGCAGTAGGGGTTCTGCCCGCTGGCTTTGCTGAGTGCAGCTGGTGGGGAGGGAGTGGGGCTGCCCTAGTGCTGAATCTCCACAGCACTCTGGTGGGGTGTGTTTCACTCTCTGGAGCCGGGAGAAGGAGGGTATCTTGTCTGTTGTGCACAGCAGGCCCCACGTGGCCAGCTGCATACTGGGGAAGTGACGTGTGCTGTCCCCACTGGCCGAGGAGTGGGCATGAGAGGGGAGTGTCAAAGCTTCAGTTTGCTGACACCTCGGTCAGCCTGTAAATGACCGTCTGACAGTTGAGTGTGGAGAGCCACAGTGTCTTTTCAGCATCACCCCCAAAGCCTCCGAGCACTGATGTGCTCACTGCACAGTGAGCCTCAGTGCTGTGTGCTTGTTCACTCCGAGGCGCAAGCTCTCCTCCATTCCCATCCGCCCTGATTGCTGCCTCCAGCCCAGGCCACTTCCAGACCCAACAGGGATGGCGCTGTGGGCCCACCCTGTTCCTCAGTCATGCTGAGGGGGACTGGCGTGCTTGGGCCTATGGTTACTCCAGTTCATCCCTAAGTATTCCAAGGAGGAGTGTCACCCAGTGCAGGAAGCAGAGGGGACTCACCTTAAAGCTAGCAAAGGGTGAATGATCACAGTCACCACCTGCAGGCATCTGGCCACCTGACTATTGAGGAGTTGCAGACACTCATTTTCCTTTATGCTGTTTAAACTTACACTTTTGGGGGCGTTGTTTGGAGAAACAACTGGCCGCCTACAGCTGTGCTCCTCACATGTTAATGTCCTAATGTCCATGTAATGTCATGCAGGGCGCCCTGGGGCCTGCGGGGTCCTGATGCCAGGCTCTGGGGGAGGGGGAGGGAGGCGGGGCCCTGTTTAGCACACACCGCACACACATCCCATCCCGTGGCTGCTGCTGTTTGGGGACCAGGCTGCCTGGGGATTTGTGATCACAGAAGGACTCAGCTTTAGCTGCAGCCTTGACTTGCATTACAGCTTGCTGGCCTTTAATCCATTGTGTTCTGACTTAAAATCAATTTGGTTTCCTCAATCTCTTAGTAAGTAAATGGCTAAAAAGCAAGAGTTTAAGAAGGCCCAGACTAAGACACAACATGGCATAAGATTATTTCTGAAGAAACAGTTAATCCTTGGAAAATGAGTTTTATAGCTTTTATGTAGAACAAACCACAGTCTTGAAAGTTTCTGGTTAAACCTTTTTTTTTTTTCTTATTTTTTGTCTTGCACGTCTCTTCTATAAATTATCAGGCACAGGGGGCTGGGGATTTAGCTCAGTGGTTGCGTCACCTGCCTCACAAGCGCAAAGACCCGAGTTCGATCCCTGGTACCAAAAAAAAAGTTTAATCCTATAAATTATCAGGCAGGAACCATAGACTCCTGAATATCCTCTCTCCCTCCCTCTCTCCCTCCCTTCCTCTCTTCCTTTCCTTTCCTCTTCTCTTTCTTCCCCTTCTTTCTTTCCTTTCTTTTCTCTTTTTTGTTCTTTATTTCTCCTTTTCTTTCCTTTCTTTCTAAGTCATAATTCCAATGTTACTTAACTCCTCGACTGAAGAATTACTTCATTTTTGGCCAAGACCCATACCCTCCCTCTCTCACTACTCTTTACATGTCCAAAGAACAATAAATGTTTTGTTTCTACATTCCCTCTCTCACCCAATAACGCTATACCTTTGATTCGTTTCCATTTTGGTTAGGAAACTTGCCTTTTATCTTCCATCTCAGTGGAAGTCCCCAGCAGCGTAGTTGTTGGTATTAATTTATTACGTATCACAGGGTCTCCAGGAAGAACCAGTATATTGTTTCTCCAGGGTGGGAGCCTTACTATTTCATATTGGTAGAATGTATCTCTGTTAATTCAATTTGAATATTTTCTGTAGAAATAGAATTGTGCTGTTGTAGTAATTACGTGATGTATTATTTTAGTCCTTGTGTACCTGTGCATCAGTGTGTACTCAGTTTTTCTTCTTCTGTTTCCAGGGTGTGATTACTTTAGAGGCCCTTGGTAAAAGGGGTTATCGAGTACCTCCTTCAGGAACAATACAAGTGGTATGTGTTTTCTAGCCTACAATTGCAATAATCATTCTCTCACACACACATAGAACTTAGCCTTTCTCCTGCTACTGCTGCTGCAACGACTTTGGTAAGTAACAGTGGGGCTGCAGCTTGGTTTGGAGTTTCCGTGGTCTGCCCAGGAATGGCCCTTTGGGGACCTCCATAGAAGGAAAGCATTAATAGGCTAATCCAGGTGAATGCTTTAGAAAAATAGTCTGTGACTAGGGCCAGGGATTTAGCTCAGTGGTTTCACCGCCTGCTGCGCAAGTGCAAGGACCCAAGTTCGATCCCCAATACCGAAAAAAACAAAATACTCTGTGACCATCTGTACAACTTAAAGAAAACTATTTTCAGTGTGATTAGAACTGAGCATGACCAGTGCCTTCTCTTTACTATGAGAAGCCGTATTGAGATTGAGCTATTTAAAAGGAGACTCCAAATACTGGTACTGCTTTGGCAGGAAAACTTGGAGCACAAAGTGGTGGTGTCCATGGTATAATGATTCACTCTGGCAAGATGATGCTAACTGCGGACGTTAGTCTAACCAGTGTCGGGCAGAGAAGCCTTGGCCCTTTATTCCAGCCCTTCTGCCCGGAGCAGTTTTTGGTCACCTGGTCTGGTGTTCTCAGGCACAGCACCTGACACGAAGGCCCTTTGCAGTGGCAGTCTGACCCGGAGTGACCTCACTTGCCTCCAGGTCTGGTCTGGTCTGGTCTGGTGAGGAGCCAGGAGACTGCAGAGTCACCCAGAACCCAGGCACTCAGGTCTGGCCTGGTCCGACAGGTGCTCTGTGACCCCAGGCCTGTCACTATTGCCAGCACTGGAAGGAGGCCAAGTGTGTGTGCTTCACACCTCACGGAAATAGAACAGTGCCGTGCAGAACCTGTGTATCCTGAGCAGGAGGCCCTTGGGAGTAAGGTGTGGCCTCTGTCCACTGGATTCCCTGCACTGCAGGAGTGGCAGCCTCTGTCCTGTCGGTCGCTGCCTGGCGATTGTCCTCACGGCGACACCCTAACCCAACACAGCACGATGAGCTCTCGCTCTGGATAATTCTGACTGTGAAACTTAGTTTCATTCCTTCCATGGTTCAATTCTGTATAGTCCTGGTTGAACTCCTGCTTGCTAGTTATGAGTGTCAAATGTATTAGCCTTAGCTTTAAGACTCACTAGATTGCAAGACTGGATCATAATGCTGATACAGTTTTCATCTTGATTCAGCGAGTGATGTCCAGTACCATGGATGAGCTTCTGAAAGCATAGCACCCACTTACCTGCTGAGGTGCTGGTAACTTGGTTAGGCAGCAGCTGGGCTTCATTTAAAAATCAGTGCTTTTGAAAGTTTTTCTTTCAGTTATTCATAGCCAAGAACCCCTTGAACTCAGTTCAGTCTTCACTAAGCATACACATTTTGGTCTATCATCATATTGATTTAAAAAAAAAAACTAGTGTTGCTCCAGATTTTGAAATGATTTCATGTATGAGAACATGAAGTGTTATTAGCCTACTTTGGATCTAATAATGATGAGATGTATTTTATAAACTTGAAAAGAATTTCAAGTAGAACAGTCTCTCCTTTGAGCACTTTTAATTCTACTACTATATTACATTAAACACAAAAAAATTCTAGTTTTACTGAACTTGTGTTTTTATTTTTAAAATTCTGTTTAATCATCATTAAAATGTGAGAAAACTTAGGGCCAGGGATTTAGCTCAGTGGTTTTGCCGCCTGCCTCTCAAGCATAAGGTCCTGAGTTCAATCCCTGGTACCAAAAAAAAAGCGAGAAAACTTGATATTCTGCTTTTAGAATTTTGCATTTGATAGTCATCAGCAAAGCTAAAGTTTGAAATCACAGAACTAGAATATTTTAACCCTATAAGGGTATATTTTGTTTGAGCTAGTTGAACTATTTCTGAAAATCCAAAGGAGAAAATTACATACTGTTTTTTATTAATATGAAATTTGTAACTAAAGATTTTGATCTATTACAGGAGTTTATAATATTATGAAATAAGAGGTCAAGCCTTTGAAACAATATTGAATGTTAACTTTAGTCCGTAAGCCCGAATCCCATCTGCTGGGATTTGTTGCTGTTAAAAGCCTGTTTAATTTTGGCGCAGCCATTTGACAACATCGGCAAGTCGTTGCCCTTGAAGAATAGTTTCTCTGTTGTCTCTTCAGACCTTATTCAACCCCAATAAGACTGTGGTGAAGATGTTTGTTGTGATGTATGACTTGCGGGACATGCCAGCCAACCACCAGACATTCCTACGGCAGAGGACCTTCTCCGTGCCTGTGAGGCCCGAGGCCCGGAGAAGTGTTGGCAAGGACAGCGTCCGGCACACGGAAGAGCGCTTGTTACGCTACCTCATCCACCTGAGGTAATGTTTTGGGAAATGTGGAAGTGTACTCGGTGACCATACCTAGAGCAGTGCCCTGGCCCTGCCGACTGGGGTGACAGCAGGGACAGCCGCCTCAGGTATTTCAGTCAGAAGCAGATCCTATTACATCCAATGCTGTGAGACACACTTGTTAGAGCACTGGCAAACTAGCTGGTGATTCCATCAGAATGCCTTTTCCTGCCACCCCACTCCCCACTCAGAGCTGTAGGTCGTGAGAACTGCCCGCTTGCTCTGGCCCAGGCTGCTGGAGTCTCAGGTGAGGCTCGGCCTGCATCTGAGCGAAGCTCTGGGGTGGGGAGCAGAGCAGGGCCTTCCCACCGCCCTGTCTGGCAGTGCTCTGGGTCCTGCCGTGGGCAGTTTCAGTTACCTCAGGACATGCTCTGAGACTGGCTCCGTGCCTCAGGGAGCCTGGTCACCCAGCGCAAGCAGAGAGCTTCTGCCCTGTCACCGGCGACGGCCAGCAGCGCCTCACTGTGCATCTGCCCAGTGTGGTGATCCTGGGAAATGAACGTTCATTAAGTTCGAGGTTTCCCCAAACCCCACGTGGTCTCTCATCTGCCTGGCGGTCCTTACCCAGAGATGCCACCCCAACCTCGCGCCTTGAAACCCAGCTTGCTGCTGCCTGCCGCCCTAAAGGAGTGTCACACGGGAAAACCTACCTGACAGACTTTGAGCTTGTTAAGAGACTACTCAGCCTCATCTGACCCCGTCCTCTCCAAGCCTGCTTCCTTCGTTTGCTTGTGTGTGTTGCCACAGGGCTCCTGCAGGCCGGGTGACAGTCCCTCAAGCACCCTTGAAGCTGAGTGGCTGTAGCTGTAGGGAACCAGCATCCCCTAGAGTGAAATTCAGTCCTCCCAGAGGCCTGATGCTCTCCATGCTGTGTGGAGGCCTGCATCGGAGAAACATTGCCCTGCGCACGGCCGAGCACGCCCTCCTTCAGCTTGGGAGTGGCCACCACGGAGCAGGGCAGCTGAGCATCTCGGACGTTTCTGAGGGCTTTTCTCCTCTCACTGCCAACTCCTCCCCACTCTCGGTGCTGGTTAGGAGTGACTGAGCTGGTCATTGCTGACAACCACAGTTCTTTTACCGGTGACTGTCCTCAAAGCTAAATTTCCTGTAGTGACTTCCAAGCGTGGAGACCATTTTAATCTACCCCAAATTATAGGTGGCTGACTTGCTAAACAGGTCAGTCTGTGTGTCTAGAAAATGCTGGGGCTGCCGATCCCAGGCAGTGTGACAGGCTGATGGAAACCCAGCCGATGCCAGAGAGGAAAGCCATGCGCCTCAGGGTCAGGAGGAAAGGCAGCCGGGTGGAGGGATGAGGCAGGGTTTTAGGGAAGAGCAAGGGAGGGCCATTTACATCGGAAATGTGCTTTGACAGTTTAAGATCTTCAGCATCATGCCAGTGTGTTTGGTATTGTAGCAAGATTGATTCTTGTTGTTGTTGTATTAGTGTGGATTACCTTTCCAAGTGCAACTACCCAAGTTGGTTGTTTAGACTCCTTCCCTGAGGTGCCGTCTCTCTCCCTCCACGCAGGTTCCAGAGCTCCAGATCTGGAAAGATCTACCTCCACAGGGACGTGCGACTCCTGTTCTCCAGAAAGTCCATGGAAGTCGATAGTGGTGCTGCATATGAACTCAAATCATACACGGAGTCGCCAACAAACCCTCAGTTCTCACCACGATGCTGACCAGCAGTAACACACTGGAGTGTTTGCTCAGTGCCCGGGTTTGAGGTAGATTCCCATAGAGTGGCGGGCACCAAAGGGCAGTCAGGAGAGTGGCTCCTCTCCCACCACCCTGGACCAGTTTCACTGAAGGCTCCCGGCGGGCGAGGAGGCCCCGAACCCGCATAGATGGAAAGTGGAAAGCGCTCTCATCCCAGCCCCTTCGTACTGTGGAAACCACTTCGCTGGACACGTTGCAATAGCAAAGGCCCTGTAGTTAGTGTTTACACGTTTCATTTGTTATTTAATATTTAATGTTTTCCTTAATACTCAAGTGATGTTTGTCTGTAGTGTTCTAATGTAGCACAAATCTTATGTGAAATCATACTATGTATTTTTGACATTAATGTTGGAATCTGAAATATATGCACAAGTGTTTAATTTTGTGTGATGTGTTTTAAATGCTATTCATTTAAACTTGAGAATGACAATGAACTGTTGAGCTTCTCTGCGGCTAGTGCACTATGCAAGCATGCATCCTTTTTCTATGGCATGCGGGGCGCGGGCTAGACACGAGCTCTGACCGACTGTCTTGCCACTCTGATTCCTGTCAGGCTCCCCGTCCTCAGACATTCTATTTTCCTTAATCACTACTTGAGAGGCTACATTAAACTGCTGTCCCATGCTAGATAATTTTCTGAAATTGTTAAAGTAATATGTACTTTGAAAACAAATTAGTATTTATATTGTAAATATATGCCAAAAAACTAAAAAACAAAGTGTACTTGGCTTTTATTTTTAGTGGAGACATTTATGTGATTAAATCGGTGAGCTAGCCAGTCAGGCAGCTGCCGGGAGGGGAAGAGGTCCTACTGCTTCCCAGTTCGGGCGCAGCAGAAGGCTGCTGGCAGCAAGCAAGGTGCTCTGACTGAGTGTGGGAAGGCTTTTCCAGTGAGCCGAGGAAGAACACGTGGTTCTGGGCCCTGTGCAGGGACTGTGGGAGCCGCAGAGAGCTCTGGGAGCACTGACCCACACCTGCGGCTCTGCAGGATGAAGTGGATACCCTGGAGCACCAGACCCAGCAGCTTGGGTGTTGTGTCCGCTGAGCGGGCTGGGTCTGGCGGAAGGGACTCTGCTCAGGGACAGGCTACGCAGGGCTATGCATCAGGCCCGTGCTGGGGTGGGGATGCAGGCTGCAGGCTGGCAAACCAGAGCCTCTCTTAGAATTCTTTTTAAAAGACTGATTTTAAAAAAGGGTTTGTTCCTTAGAACTTAGAATTTTTCAGTCATACAGATCCCCAGATTGTGCGGAGGGGACTTGGAACAGGGCTGCAGTCGTGGCTCTGACCATGGTGCTGGGGTCTAGAGCTGCCCTTGCTGGGTCTACAGTGGAGAACAGCGTGAGAATGGCATTAGCACCTTCTCCCCTTCCATTACAAGGTCTAAGCACCCTTTGCACCCTGTGTGTGTATTCAGTGCATAGAGAGAGACAGAGGCAGTGTCTAGGTGGGGCTTAATGATCTTGCCAGTCTTGGATTCTTTGTTGTTTTTTGGGGTGGTTGGTTGGTTGGTTTGACAGAGTCTTGCTGGCCTCAAACTTGAGATCCTCCTGCCTCAGTCTCCCCGCTTGTGCATGCCGGGCAAGTGGTACACCTCTGACCCACATCCCCAACCCTAATTTTTAAAATATTTCATTAGATGTACCTAAACTTATTAAACATTGGAGAAAAGTCAATATTGACTTCTACAGTGAAATTGACCCCAAAACTGGTGTGCTCGTGCTGGTCCCTCCATGTGGACACCACACTGCAGTCTTCTTGGGGTCTAGCGTGGCCTTCTGACCTTTCTAGGCATGTTTCAGAGAAGTGAAGAGGTCACTTGTATTGGTTTAGGTTGTGATAAGTGTCACAGACTGGGTGAATTAGGAAGGAGAAGTTTGCCTTTGCTCGTGGCAGGGGTACAAGGCCCGGTGCCACATCCCGAGAGGATTTGCGGGGGACCTCCAAGTGCACAGGGCACCACAAGGCACACAACAGGAGGGAGGGTAAAGCCGGTGCTCTGGAGGGAGGGCACTGCAGGTCGGAGCCCGCAGGCTGAGAACCCTGAGCACCACAGAGCGAGTCTGTGCTAGAGCCCCACGCGTGCCCATGTGCTACTGACGGTACACAGAAGATCCGGGTTCAAATCCAGGTTGAATGTCCGTCTTTTCCACTCTACTGCACTGGCATTATGACTTTTTCCCATTATCTTCCACCAAAAATACACTTTTCATCAACACTCTTAGAAATACAGTTTATAATTAGCCAGGTGATAACCAATAAATACAATAAGACAGTGCCTCTGAATCACTGGGGGAAACGGAAAATGACTGATCTTAAAAAACAAAAACCTTTGAGAAGAAAAACCCCAAAGCAACTCATAGGCTGTTCACCTTAGAATATTGACAGCATGCAGGTAAACATGGCTGAGGGAAGTTTTGAGAACACAGTTTCTTAAATACTTTATGAGATTATAAAGATTAGATGTTTTTAAAGTCTTTTCCAGACATATTCTTAGATGAGGCCAGATTAGCAAGGAGGGACTTCGGGTAAGGAGGGACATCTACCAGGAATGCTTAGAGATATTGAAAGAGCAAGCCCAAGAAGCCTAGTGACAGAGGAAAGAAAGACACCGTCATTACCACAGCTTAAGAGCAAGATGTCTTCATGCTTTTCTGAACTGTCCCACGTACTTATCGGCAGCAAAGCAGATGGTACCACATGTCGGCCATGTCATCCACAAGGATGGCCACACGACCCTTCATGTCGCCACCAGCACCATCCGGTCCACTTCATTTGCCTTCTTCCTCTCTTTGTGAATCAAAGCAAACTCCACATTCAGCCTGTCTGCAATGGATGTGACCCTGCATGAAGATACAGTGGACACCTTAATACAGTCCATTTAAGAGTCTTTTCTTTAAAAGATAAATTTGAGTAATTTGTAGGAAAATGGATGCACCTTGAGACCATAATGTGTATGATTTCTCTTACTTGAGAAACCCACAGCACAAACAATTAATGAAAAAAATAAAAGCTGGATAATAGGAAACAGAGAGATAGATCTTTTGCAAAGAGGAAGGGGACCATGAGATAGAGGGAGAGGAGAGGGGATGAAAAAAAGAGTTAAGATGTGTTATGTACATGCACCAGCTCCCCAGGAGGAAGGGAGTCATTCAGCACTGCAAACATGTACTCATAAAAATAAATAGGACACACGTGTAAATATCTAATAGTTTCTCTGCTGTGAGAAACTGTAAGTGGAAATAAGGATCAAAAGGTATAGTAGATAATGTGAAATAGGAAGAAAAGGGGCAAAGGGGAAGTGGGAAGGGTAGGGGAAAGGAAAGGGGAATGGAATTAATACGAGAAAATGAAAAAATGGAAACAAAGTCTGTAAATAGGGAGGGATGGAGGGGTTGAAGGGAGGGCAGAGGAAGGGGGAAAAATAAGAACCAAGAGAGTATGTAAAGGTGCATATCTCCAATGATGAATGTCATTATATTGTATACCTAAAATGTACCAATAAAATTAATTTAAAAATAATAAAGGTAGAAATTTAAAACTTGAAGTAAAAGTCTCTTTCCAGACTCTTTCCATTCCATTATTCTTTTTCTTTCTTTTTAACTCGTTCTAAATTTTCCCATTACAACTAGGCCCCTGCAGAAGTGACGTCCTCCTCTCTTGTGAAAGCTACCTGGCTTCCTTACTCTATGAGTGGTCCGAGCGTTGCTCATAGAAATCAGCATTTACCCCAGGATTTGGGGTGCTCAGTATTTCACTTGGTTTCTCTGGGTTAATTTTTCCATCTCTCACTCTAACTAACATCCTCTAATTGAAAAGATACACAGTGTGATGGAAAAACATGCTGAATGTTTAATCTCTTAAAAATTATCACAGTAAGAGACACATTGCCATTAAGCCTCCTCAAAACCCTCCCCCGCACTAGGAACACATCCCATGGTTCCTGCCACTTTCTGCAGCACCTCTGAAATGTCTTTAGTTGTGCTGTCAGAGCTGCCTCCATGTCCTGAACTGATTCAAAACATTGACCCTTGATGGTCATTTTGACTTTGGGGAAGGGCCGGAGGTAGCACGGTACCAGATTCGGTGGGTAAGGCAGATGAGGACTCAGTGCTGTGTTTTTACAGGCCTGCCTTCCGTTGGTCGGCAGTCGGCAGCACCATTCACTATGTTTTTGATCACATCTTGTAAAGGCACTCAGGCACGAGGACATCCAGAACTGCTTCAGAAAGTAGAACGATGGGCTAAGTGTTCAAAGCAAGGGGGCTTCATAGCAATGTCTTTTATTAATAAATGTCTTAAAAATTCGAACATGTGTGGTACGTTTTCCATTACACTTCATATTCTGTTCTCAGCATTTGCTGCACCCTGGCAACACAGCTAGACTTCCTCTCTTGGCTGACTGAGGAGTTAACGGGGTGAGACATGATCTCTTTAACTCCTATAAACTCTTCAGCTAGAGCAACCAAACCTGGAAAAGATCCCTGATCTCTTAAATCTCGTTTTTGTGTTACTGCGAAAAATATATCTTGTGCATTATGCACCTCAACCACCAGGGGGCGCGCCGGTAAAGCAGCAAGTGGAGGACTTTGCCCCAGAAGCAAGGAGGGGGCCGAGGGCGACGCCTAGGGATTCCCGTCCCTGTGGCTAATGAGTGAAATCCAGCGCTCAGTTCCTCAGCCCCAAAAGGCACGTGTGTAATGCTCAGCAGCAGCACGTAGGCCGTGGCTTCTTGCTGGACACCCAGGCTTGGAGCCTTCACCGGCACAGGGCTGGTGGACAGGCCCAGCCCCAGCTCAGGACGGACCAGAGGGGCGTGGGCCGGGGCCGCCGACGGCGGGGAGAGCCCCCAGGAGACCGGGAAGCAGCGCCACCAGGAGAGGGCAGTATCCCAGAGCCCGGTGTGTGGCGAAGCACGCAGTGTGCAGCGGTTAACATACGGAGGTGATGGTGCAGAGGTGACACAGTAACTCGGGATGGGATGGGACCCAGACCAGCGCCCTGGGCGCGGCCCCCTGTACTTAAGCGTGTGTGTGTGTTTCGGTACTGAGGATTGAACCCAGGGCCTTCAAACTGAGCCGCATCCCCAGCCGCTCGTCATTTTCTGTTTTGAGACTGGGTCCTGTTAATTTGCTCAGGCTAGGCTCAGACTGGCCATCCTCCTCCCTCAGCCTCCCAGAGTGCAGGGATTACAGGTGTGCACCACCACACCGGCTGTGAATTCTCATTTGACTCAAGTCTGTTGCCCAGAAATTCAAATTTACCCTCATGTGTTACTGATTTTCTTTTCTTTCTCTCTCTCTCTCTCTTTTTTTTTTTTTTTTTTGCAGTATCAGGGATCGAACTCGGGATCTTGCACTTTCGAGGCAGGCACGGTGCCACTGAGCTACATCCCCAGCCGTGTTACTGCTTTTCAGGAACAGATTTTCTTTATCCAAGGTCACAAAATACATTTTTCTCTATGTGTGTGTCTATCGGATTTTAACCTAAGTTCACAAACACACTCAAGTTCACAAATTTAGGAGAAATATATATACACTGGAAAAACGGTCTTCGATGCTCCACTTAGCCTAAGCAGTACACTTGCCTGTTCTCTCTGTAGTTGCACTTAAAGGAAAAGCAGTTCTTCAGTAGGCCATAGAATGATAAACACGCACTTGAGCTTAGGAGGTTCCTCAGCTGGCCCAGTTTGAGACATTCTCAAAGAACAGCTCTGTTAAAGAGCTGGCTTCTTGAACACTTTCATTTAAACACTGTGCTTCCTAGTCTGACAAACCCTCTCTTCCTTCTCCAAAGGGGACGCAGTCTTCCTGCTCTGTCTTACAAGTGGCGATCCCAGTACAGTTCTTCCCGAGATTCTACACCCTGGTTTCCAGACCCCTTGTCCAGTCACTGCTCCTCGGGCCCAGAATTGCATTCATTCTCTTCGGCTTTTTGCTAGTTCAACCCCTACAGGCCAATCTTATTTCCCTCTAAGAGCTTTGGCACCGTCGCCACCCCTCCCTGGTGGCCTACCCGAGCAGGAAAGGTGACATTAACAGGGTAATGACAACTGCTGTCCAAGGATGCTCCACTGTGAAACTGCAGAGCGGTGACAGCATCGCAGAGACGCGGGCGGGCAGCTTCTCCTAGGCAATGACGGAGGACTGGAGAGGTGAGGAGGAGACGCGGAGCCCCGGAGCGCCCACGGAAAGCCAGCGTGGGACAAGAGAGAGAGGCTGAAGACGTGGAGCTACAAGGTCCCCGGGACAGAAAGCAAAGGGCAGGGAGAAACGGCGGGGCTCTCGAACTACAATTCCCAGGAACCCTGGGAGTACGAGATGCGGCCCCGGGCGGATGTGAGGCGTGTCCTCGCCGAATGTAAGGCTCTCGCTGGCCAGATGTGAGGCGGTCCCGGGCGGAAGTGAGGCAGTCTCGGGCGGAAGTGAGGCGAGCGCGCGCAGCGACCTTTGAAGGGAAGAGGAAGTGCTCGGGCGTCGCGCGGCCGGAGGACGGGTTGGCGAGGTGGGGGCGCGGCGGAGGCCGCTGGGTCGCGGCATCGCAGGCAGCGGGCACTTTCGAGGCGGCAGCCTGGGGCGGGGAGGGGGCGGCCTCGGCCCCTGTCATCGCGACGCTTGGCCCGCAGTAGGAGCACCATGTCCGCGGAGGGCCCCGAGGCGGCGTCTGCCGAGGAGCAGAAGGTGAGGTGGCGGGAACGTGCCCGGGCGGGCGCACAGGGTCCTCAGCCGTCCCCCAGGTGCCATGCGGGGCGCCCCGAGTCTGGCCCGGAGCCCGAGCGGCTCTGGACGTCGCTTGGCTCGGGAAGTTCGCGTTTCCGCCGAGCGGGTTCGGCCCCGGGGCCTCTTGGGCCCCCGCCCGCGTCTTATAGAGGTCCGCCCGCCGTGGGCCGGCGCGGAGCCGGGGCTCTGAGTCGGTCTCGTCGGACGCCGCTCGGGCCGGTGCTGCCCTGCTCTCTTGGGACCCGGGCAGGCCAGGGGACGGGAACGTCTGCGGCGTCTCGTCTCCCGAGTTGCGACGGACAGACCCAGGTTTTTCGTACAAACCCGACAGCGTCACCGCAAACAACAAACACCGCAGGCATCAGGCCCTAATCGGGAGAAGTTGGCCCAGTGTCCTAAACCCATTCCATATGTGCTAACTTTTCCTGACTCGGATGGTCCTGCTGTATTACTCGCTAAGTAACTGAAGAAACAACAACATAAATAATAGGCCAGGAATATTCTGGAGTATTCCAGTGAAAATTACTGGACATTTTTAACGTGTTGCAAAAAGATAGATGGGCTTTCGATGCCATATATCTTAAGAGTTGTAACCTTGCCGGGGATTTAGCTCAGTGTTCCACCTCCCCAAGGTGCCGAGTATATGGGAGCAACTGCTGAAGGCCAGGCCTTTTGGGAGTGTGGCGAGTTGTCTCCCCTAGGCCATGTGGTGACTCAGTTTCCTTTTTAAGAGTGAGCTCTGAGGGCACTTAACTCCCTAGAGTCACAGATAGTTTCCTTTTAAACCTAGCTCCATTCTTCTCTCCCCACCCTGGACAGTTAGGGTCGCCCGAGCCTGTGTCCATGGACACTCCAACCCACAGTCCTGTGACGCCGCTTAGAGACGAAAGGTGGGTCAGAGCCCCTGAGTGTGTGCGTGCTGTTCTCCACGGCGGCTAGCAGAAACAAAGCACTGAAAAGGTTCAGAAGCGACCCAGTGGGCCTGCAGCTCAGAATGGCCAGTGCGTTGGCTCTGGGGCAGGAAGAGGCGGTAGAACTGCAGACTGACCAAGGGTCAGTGTTGCTCCCTCAGCGCAGCCTGGCCTCAGGGTTTCTGTGCTGTGTCTGCCCCCAGGGCACCGGCACAGGCCCGCAGTGTCCTCTGAGCCTTGTGATGGAGCCTTGTCCAAGTGGGCTTCCGGACAGATGGCAGTGAGGAAAGAATGGGGTGGCCTGGCCCTGTGGTCTGAGAGCCTCAGCTTAGACACGGTTCAGAAAACCAAAGTGTGCGTGTGTATGTGCGCGTGCAGGTGCGTGATATTGCAGTCTGATTTTTTAAAGGATTTCAGTAGCAGGCTTTCTAGAGGTATAATATTCGTCACACTAAGTTAGATGTCTTGGAAAGGGTAACAGAACTGTCAGTTAAAATATTTCTGTCCGTTAAAGGGCTTTTGCGCCTGGTGGGAGAGGAAGAGAACTGCTGTTACCTGAATTACCTGTGCCTCACGGCCGTGGTTTAGTTCAAGACAGACCTGCTCCTTCTGCCGGGGTCTCCAGAGGCAGTGCTGGCCAGGTGTCAGGAGACGAGGTCGGCTGTGATCCACCTGGCTGGTGACCTCAGACAAGTCCTGGAGCGTCCTGAGGTCTGGGTTTGCCCTGCGCAGTGGGGCAGGTTTGTCTGCTGGATGTTGGTCACAGGATGGAGTTCAGCCTTCTCGGCCCAGCACTCAGTGCCTTTCGCCATCTCCCGCTGGTCTGAGCTGCTGCCTGCTCCTGCTGCTGCCGCTGCTGCTGCTGCTCCTCCTCCTCCTCCCCCTCCCCCTCCCTCCCCTCCTCTCCTCCTCCCGCGGTTCCGAAGCCAGGCTTCTTGGTGCTCCCTTCGTCCCTAGATGGAACCTTCTTGCCAAGCCCTTGTGTGCTGAAAGCCTGGAACCTGTGCATTCCCTGCAACCCTAGCACAGGGTGCTGGATAAAGCAGATGGTGCCAGCCAGTTAGGACTAAGTTTGGTTACATGGGACAGGAAAATACAAATAGTAGTAGTTTTTTTTTTAACTTTTAAAATTTCTTGGTACGTGTTTACAGTATAGAGTGATTATATATTTTGTGGGGAGTCGTACACATACACAATACATTTTCATCCTTTATTTTTTCATCTTGTGCTCCTCCCCTTTCTCCCTGCTCCCCCAACTCTTGGGCCCCTTCCCAGTTGCAAAAGCTCGATTTTCACCATTACTTTTCCTTTCAATTCTTTTTTCCCATTCCCTTTTCCTTCCCCTTCCCCCTCCCTTCTTATCTTCTTCCCTCATCAATTTGAAAAAGACCTCCGCACTTCCTGTTTATCTGTCTTCCATTTTGCTTGTCCCCCGCCCCGCCCTGGTCTCTGTAAGCTTGTATGTCTGACTTATTTCACTTAACATTATGTTCTCAAGTTGCATCCATTGGGCTACAAATGCTTCAAATTTATCCTTTATGTCACAGTAGCACTCCATTGTGCATAAAAACATTATCTATTCATTTGTTATGGACATATGTGTCATTTTCAAGATCTAGCCATTATAAATTGTGCTGCTATAAACATGGGTATGCGTGGATCCCTGTAGTATGAGGACTTTAACTCTTTTGAGAAGATACCTAGAAGGGGAAGAGCCGGGTCAAATGGAATTTCTATTTTTAGTTTTTTGAGGAGTCTCCGCACCTACTTCCATAGAGGTTGTACCAGTTTACATTTTCACCAACAATGTAGTAGAGTTCCTTTTCACCCACATCCTCACCAGCATTTGTTGTTTTTAGACTTTTTGAAGATAGCCATTCTTTCTGGAGAAACATATTGTAGTGTAGTTTTAATTTGCATTTTTCTAATGATCAGCAATGTTGAACATTTTTTCAGATATTTAATAACCATTTATTAAGAAGTAGTACTTCTACTTCTGAGAAGTGTCTGTTTCAGTTCGCCATTTTTTGATTGGGTCTTTTATTTTGGAGGTCTAATTTTTTAAGTTCCTTACATATTACAGATGTTAGTTCTCTGTCTGAGGACTACCTGGCAAAATTTTTTCCCATTCTATATGTTGTCTCTTCACTATGTTCATTGTTTCCTTTAATGTGCAGAAGCTTTTAAATTTGACATGATCCCATTTGTTCATTCTTGGTATTTCTTAATATCTTTGGGGTTCTGTTCAGAGAGTCCTTGACTATGCTTTTCGTTTCAAGAATTTTACCTTCCAGCAGATTAAGTGTTTCTATTTTAATATTTAGATCTTTGATCAATTTCTTTTTTAAAAAAATTCTTTCATTGGTACATTTTAGGTATACATTTACATTTATCATTGGGTACTTGTACCTGTACATGATGTAT